ATAGCCCGAGCAGAAAGGTGGCACGAACGCAGCTGCCACCCCTGTTAACATGCATGAAGAAAAAAAAAAACGACCATGACCTGGAGCTGCCTGTGTTTGCCCTCAGCTGCACACGCACACAAAAACACAACAGAAGGTAAACTTTGTAAGAAATACTTTGAGTGTCTGAAAACACACAGATTTAAAGCCTGTGAACACCGCTGTAGTTTTGTGGGGGGGTTTTTAGCATAATTATTCCATGTAAACATACATGTTTGTTCATTCAAATAAGCCTTTTAACAGAGAGTAAACATTGTTTTTTAACTGTTGGATTTAATTTGCGGTGAAAGCGAGAACAAAGACAAGATTATAACTAAGCCATGAGAGCTGTAATACATCAGAGGCTACTTCACCGTGCTGAATAAATCTTCTGTATTGTGTTTTACATCCTGTTTTCCTGTTCCTGACGAGAGATGTGTGGAGGAATTAGGAGCAACTTTGTCCTACAACTCATTTAGATCATGGTTCTCAGGATATTTAAAGTGAAGACGTGGCGTAAGGGTGGAGGAGTCCAGAGATGACTAAGCATATACAGTATATCACAGCACACCGAGAGAGACCAGAGGCTTTATTCACAGAGCTCATCCGAGTCTGGTCTAAGATCATGGGGTCGGCTACGGCCATGAAACCTTCACTTTCACTTAGGACTGAGGTAAGGGAGAGAAAGGCCAAACAGAGATGAGAGGAGAGGAGGCAGAGAGAGAGAAACACAATGAAGTGAAATATGGTTTGTGATGGAGGCAGGGAGACGGAGGGCAAAAGAGAAAAAAACATAGCTCAAGAGGAAAAGCGAAATGCTGCAGGTTTCTGTCGTCAAGGCTTCGATTGATGATCATTTATAATCTATCTGCCTAAACTCGAGCATCTTTAAAGCTTGTCTGGTAAAACTCCCTAATCCATATTGTCATCCAACAACTGTTGTTCATGTAGCTAAAGCCTGACATAGCTCATAGCTTCCTCTGTGTTTGTTTGTTTGACGGATTACACAAAAACTACTGAGCGGATTAGCACGAGACTTGGTTGAAGGATCTGGTATCAGGATCAGGAGAGAACTTTTTTTTACTTAGGGCGTAAGATGTTATCAACATTGTCCTGATTTCTCAGAGAATAATTCATGGAGCTTGATGAAAAAAATCTGACTTATTTAGGGGACTGATATCTTTGTGTGTGCAATTCAAAATAAAGATCCAAATTAAATATGGATCTATAGCGAATTTAAATGTGTTTTAATATGGGGACTGTTCTGCCTTGGCAGATGTATGTTGGTGCCATTTTATTTTTCAAATGCAGCTGCACAAACCCACTGTACGTTTCCTGCCCAGCACCAAGCAGCAGGCGGTCATAGTTAGCAACTAGGTGGAAAACATAGTGGGAAATACAGACAGATATTTTTCTCAAGAGTTGGTGGTGACACAAAATGGAGCTAAAAGTATAGTGACTGCATTTAGATACCAGATGTATTGCTGTTGGAGGTACGTGCTCTACTGAGTTCAGTTTTAGTTCTTTTATGCCACAGATCTCCTCTTCACCTCAGTGTTGAATCTCACTGTTGCCCTGGGTGATGTACTCCTTCACCACAGTGAAACTGGCCAATGTGTGATAGTTTATTTTGAATAAACCCCACATACACCTCCCTGATGATTTAAATACCCATTAGAGCGTTAAATGTGGAATAGTTCCCTAGTGAAAATAGTACCAGACAATTACATTTACTTCCATTGGTGTCAAGCAGATTCAGGAAACTGTTGAGACATATTTAACTATATACTTTGTAGTAATTTGCTAAGATCAACATGTTGTTCAGTGTATTTTGGAAAGTTTGAGACAAATATATAAAAGTCTGATTCAAATTTTTGGCTTCTCGTATGAATTATTGAGACTCGTTTCCGGTCCCAATCTGCTTATGGACTTCTTGGTTATGGAAATTTACCTTGTTTTTTCCTTGTGTTTGATTGTTTTTTATTGACTGTGTTCTCCGTTTCCTGTTTTATTTTGAAATGATGCTTCTTTTGTGTCTCTGGCTTGATTTTCTGCCTTTCTTCCTGTTTTCCTGCCCTTGTGTTTACCTGTGTTCAGTTATTCCTACCTCCCTTTTGTATAAAAGTCTGGTTCCTTGTGTATTTCAGTCGTGTTTTCCAGTCATATCTTGTTTCTTCAGTGTTTTTTATTCTTTGATCGTAGGTGTTTTTTGGGCCATTCTTTGCTTTTGTACTTTTTGTTAATTTATATTGACATGTGCCTGACAATTTTTGTTATTTACCTTCACCTGGCTCCTGCGTTTGGGTCCTCCTGCTCTCCTCATTCCTGACAAGTTTACATTTACGAACATTTACAATGTGTTTATTCCTTAATCTGAATATCTAACAGTACTAAGTCAAATGCAACTGTATTTTTCAGTTTTTATAAATAGATAAAACCTCTTTTTAAATATCCTACTACCTTAGAGACCGTGAACCTTCGTAGCCGTGAATGTGAAGCAGAATATTCTGGTTCTGTCTTGGGCATGTGTAAGTACACGTTTTCATTCAAGTGTAAGGCACATTATCTACATAATGCCTTTAAGAAACATAGAATATGGATGATGTGATGCATAAAACAGGGCAGAGACCAAGGCCATGCATCCTGTAGGATGAGTCCCCATCATCATGCATCGTCTACACAACACAAACCCCATGTGACAGAAAATTGATAATACAATTACAATATAATACAATGACAATATAATCAATTTCAGAGTCTGAGGGTAATGTTCTAATTATTTTCTGTGTGAAAACCCAAAATCTACTGTATGTATTTTTTCTGTGAGGCTTTAAATTCCCTATTTAACTATAACTCTATAAATGTTTCATAAATGGATATAATCTAATAATTTGTATATGAATGCAAAGTAAGAAGACTTGGGCTTGTAAATTGTTTTTTTGTATAATTTTATCAATAAATAATTGTGTGTGTGTGTGTGTGGGAGAGAGAAAGGCAAAGAAAGAAAACAGGGTCTTAATTTATCTGTCAAATTGAAAACATCAGTCCTCGTCAGTGAAAATGTGCAGTGAGAATAAATACATGTCTGTCTTTTGGAAACGTTGTTTTGTAATGTTTTATATTTTTTTAATTTGAGTTATCAAAGTCCTTAAAATGAAAAAATAATCAGATATAAATGATCATGGTTTTCCACACCGTGCCGTGCATCACAAACTATCTTTAATGTCATAGGGAATCAGACCAGCAACAGAATGACATCATGATGTGAGGTGAGGGTGGGGTGGGTTGGGGGTGGGCGCTGTGATCTTCCTCTTGATTTATAATGAGAATATCTCAATTGTTGGTGATGAAGATCTTTGCTCTGCTCACGTTCCTCTCTGCTCCTTCACTGGAGTCGTACTGCAACATGGTTTTCTTTATTGCTCTTATTCTTGTGTCTTCCATTCATCTGTTTCCATGGCAGGTTCTCCCTCTCACATAATTGGTTTCTATTTGAAATGTTAGTTCTCACTTTTATTTGCTTTCTGCATTTTCTCTCCAGTTGCTGTCAACGGCTGTATTTCTCAAAGACATAGTGCCATCTAGTGTGCGTGGTGGCAGGTTGCATGCTGGGAGGGCTTGTTGCAGTCATATTATTTATTCATGGGCAATGCGCAACAAAGTGAGAGGCTGAGTTTTCCCAGAAATTCATTATTGTGTGAAAAGTTTTATCCTTTTCTACTCTTGTAAGAATCCGACGTTTGAGGTATATTAGATTCACAATCTACTTTTATTGTGTTTATTGAGTTTTATGCATCTGCCAATACTTTGTTGAGGCTTTTTGGGTCAATACTGCACATTGAGAAAATAATCTGAGAATGTGAACTGTTTACATATTATCAACTACATGAAACTGCATGGCGGCAGCATGTTTAATATTTTATGATAATGTAAGTTTGTCATTCCCAGTGTGATTCACTCATCTCACAGGCCCCACCAAAAAAGGTGAATCCCTCACTTGATAAACTAAACTTAATGTGTGAGGTTTAGTCAAACATTGCCAGTCAATCTCTCGCATTGAGCGCAGCCCTGACCCTCTGGGCAGTATCAGAGCTGCTGAAGTGCTTTGGCATCAGTGTGACAGGATTAACACATCAAAAGCACTGTCGGGGCCTACAGCAGCGTCACACACTCAGTACAGCACCTTTCATGTTCTGCTCAGGTTCACCACAATTTCACGTAAGCCAACAGCAAGTCAGACGGAAAAAGATAATGGGTCAACCTGCCGCTATCAGGCTTTCCCCTCAGCTTCAGTGAAATATGTCAAATTCTGTGTGTTTGATGAAAGATTGGAGTTCAACAGGCTCAAGTCGGGAAGCGATATCTGACTGTGTCACATGGCCGGGATGCAAAGGATCGTTTAAGTCTGACATTCAGGCTGAAATCACTGCTGCTATACTTTGGTCCCATACTTTTCTCGATGCAAAGCTTCACAGTCATCACGGAGAGGAAAATTAAATCCAGAAAGTCAGGGGTTAGGATGTCTCAGTGTTAACTCCTATGATTTTTAACCTCTTTGATAATATTAGGTATTAAGTGAGAGTGGGAAAATGTTATAATGAATTCACTCAGGATTAATTTTTCCAGTAAAGAAAATTATATCTGGTAAATTCAAACCTTTCATATACTTTCTTTTACCTGCCTGTAATTTTTTTGATATGCTTTTACAA